CCATGGGAGGCAAACACCAAGGCAGTAAGTTCTGGGGTCTCCAGCTGCAGTGGGTGGCCGCTGATTGCTTCTCTCTGTACAGACTAATGAGAACATGGAGATCACCAGCGCACTGCAGTCGGAGCAGCACGTCAAGAGGGAGCTGGGAAAGAAGCTGGGTGAGCTGCAGGAGAAGCTGAGCGAGCTGAAGGAAACGGTAACCCCACCCCATCCAAGAAGTGCTGGGAGGTGGGCACCAGCCTCTGGGGAGGGGTGGTGTGAGGCCAGAGCAGCTCCAGCCTGGGGAACAGGTGACCCCAGCACCCTCCGGGGCAGTCCTGTGACTGTTTCTTGCTCCCTGCCATCTGACTTTTAGAGGTGGATAGCCCTGGGTTTCTCTCGGATCTGGACATCATCGTCCCAGCCAGAGGCATGGATTTCCCCCAATCATAGGGAAAGAGACAGTGGTATAAGAGGCTCCTTAGATTCAAACAGGATTCTGGCCTCTGCTCCACTGGTCACCATTCAACTACTCTGCATCTCTAAGCCTCAGTTTCTTTAACTTAAAAAGGAAGTTAGCATCTTCCTTGCAGAGGTGTGGAGGATTAAATGAGATAATACACAGAAAGCATCAGGCATGTAGCACACTTAGCAGATGGTGGTTGGCTCCCTCTGCATTTCCACCAGTTTATGGCCTACAGTTTAAGTGGTGGGAAGCAGGCTGGGAAAGAAGGCAGGAGGCTCTAGATAAGGGAGGCAGTCACTTAGGCCTGGAGCAAGGGGCCAGAGGTCTGGGCAGGCAACAGAGCCTCACAGAGCCCTCGCTACCCTATTTATGGGCCCCAAATCTGAAAGCAGGCCACCACCTGCCCTCACGCCCCGGGTCTTCCCACAGGTGGAGCTGAAGAGCCAAGAGGCTCAGAGTCTACAGCAGCAGCGAGACCAGTACCTGGGACACCTGCAGCAGTATGTGGCCGCCTATCAGCAGCAGGTGGCCACCTATCAGCAGCTAACCTCTGAGAAGGAGGTGCTGCACAACCAGTTACTGCTGCAGACCCAGCTTGTGGACCAGCTGCAGCAGCAGGAAGCTCAGGGCAAAGCAGTGGCCGAGATGGCCCGCCAAGAGTTGCAGGAAGCCCAGGTGAGGGAGTTGCTGAGGGCAGGGCCCTGAGGGGGACGACCTGGCAACCTGCATGCCTTCTCACTCTCTTTCCTGGCCCCTTAGGAGCGCCTGGAAGCTGTCACCCAGCAGAACCAGCAGCTACGGTCCCAACTGAGCCTCATGGCTCACCCTGGGGAAGGTACGGGAACCTGCTCACAGGAAGAGGAGAGAGCCCCAGGAGGAAGGGGGGACTGTTAGCAGTGTAGAATTGAGTTGGCAGAGACCTTTAGAACAGCTGGTCATTATCCCAACCGGGTGTCCACACTAAGTTCGGCATCATTATGGTGACTTCCTGGGAGCAGGGGACTACCAGGTTGCCTAAGGATGGGTGAACTGGCCCAGGTCAGAAATGAGGCAGGTTAGAACTCCCATGCTGATCGGTAGTGGGACTACACCTGGGCAGCATAGCGGGCCCTTGGCTCTTAAAAAAGAATAAAATAAAAAAGCTGCTCATTCCCTTCTGGGGAGGGGCTGGCCCAGGGTTACACAGTGAGGGTGGGGGCAGAGGTGGGCACACTGTACCCTTGTTGGGTTGTCTGATGACCCCTCTGGCCACCCCCATAGGAGATGGACTGGACAGGGAGGAAGAGGAGGAGGAGGAGGAGGAGGTGGAGGCGGCGCCTCGGCCCATGCCAAGCATCCCGGAGGACCTGGAGAGCCGGGAAGCCATGGTGAGGCTGACTCCCCCTCCCCGGCCTTTGCTGCCTCCCTCTGTGCTCCCTCCCAGACCCCCTTCTGCTCTTGGTTTCCCGGCCTTCTGATTTCTTCAGACTTACCTCTTTCCTGGGAGCCAGTGGTCAGGCACCATTTCACCTGGGACCAACAAGTACAGCCTCTGAGGCCCCAAGGGAAGGGCTGCTCTCTACCTCCCTGCCTGTTCGTCCTATATATCCTCCTACAAGAATGCACCTCTCTTGCCTACAGGTGGCATTTTTCAACTCAGCTGTAGCCAGTGCCGAGGAGGAGCAGGCAAGGCTACGTGGGCAGCTGAAGGAGCAAAGGGTGCGCTGCCGGCGCCTGGCTCACCTGCTGGCCTCAGCCCAGAAGGAGCCTGAGGTGGCAGCCCCGGCCCCAGGGACTGGGGGCGATTCTGTGTGTGGGGAAACCCACCGGGCCCTGCAGGGGGCCATGGAGAAGCTGCAGGTGAATGAGTCTCTCCTGGCATGGGTCAAGAAGGGTGGGGGCGGGGCAGGTCGCTGCCAAGATGTGACTCCATTGTTTTGGTTCCAGAGCCGCTTTATGGAGCTCATGCAGGAGAAGGCGGACCTGAAGGAGAGGGTAGAGGAACTGGAACATCGCTGTATCCAGCTGTCTGGAGAGACAGACACCATTGGTGAGTGGGAGGCCAGGGCACGGCAGGAGGAGCTGCACAGTGGTTGGAGGGAACCCAGTATCTGAGCCCTGTCCTTCCACAGGAGAGTACATCGCACTGTACCAGAGTCAGAGGGCAGTGCTGAAGGAGCGGCACCGGGAGAAGGAGGAGTACATCAGCAGGCTGGCCCAAGACAAGGAGGAGATGAAGGTAGGGTGTGGAACATCTCTGTGGGGGTGGAGGTGGGCACGGGCACATGCATGGAATCTTAGCACCCCTCCCTCCAGGTGAAGCTGCTGGAGCTGCAGGAGCTGGTCTTACGGCTTGTGGGCGACCGCAGCGAGTGGCATGGCAGATTCCTGGCAGCTGCCCAGAACCCTGCCAATGAGCCCGCTCCAGGGGCCCCAGCCCCCCAGGAGCTTGGGGCTGCCGACCAGCAGGGTGGTAAGTAGAGCCCTCGGGAGGGGTGGGCAGGCAGGAGCAAGGGAGGGCTTGCGTGGCGCTCAGAGCCCTGCCTCTCTCTCTCCAAAGACCTTTGCGAGGTGAGCCTCACCGGCAGTGCGGAGGCCGCCCAAGGAGAGGCCAGGGAGCGTTCTCCCCGTGACAACCCCACTGCACAGCAGATCATGCAGCTGCTTCGTGAGATGCAGAACCCCCGGGAGCGCCCAGGCTTGGGCAGCAACCCCTGCATTCCTTTTTTTTACCGGGCTGACGAGAACGATGAGGTGAAGATCACTGTCATCTAAAAGCCGGCCACTGTCAGCAAAGCCTGAAGAAGGGGGGCTGGAGACCCTGCCCCCACTATATCCCTACCACCCCCTCAGTCACCCCTTTACCCTTCCAGTAGCAAGCATAGGCCCCTGTCTAACGGGGGTAGACAGGTGCAGATGAGGTGAAGATCACTGTCATCTAAAAGCTGGCCACTAAACTTAAAAAATAATTAAAGTTATGGGATTAAAAGAAGTTATGGGATAAAGAAGGTTATGGGTAAGTTATGGTATAGAAGTTATGAAAAAAGGCCGGGCGTAGTGGCTCACACCTGTAATCCCAGCACTTTGGGAGTTCAGGAGGTCAGGAGTTCAGGACCAGCCTGGTCAACATGGTGAAACCGTGTCTCTACTAAAAATACAAAAATTAGCCAGGCATGGTGGCGTGTGCCTGTAATCCCAGCTACTCAGGAGGCTGAGGCAGGAGAATCACTTGAACCCGGGAGGCGGAGGTTGCAGTGAGCTGAGATGGCGCCATTGCGCTCCAGCCTGGGCAACAGAGTGAGACTGTCTCAAAAAAAAAAAAAAAAAAAAAAAAAACGGGATTAAAAAAAAAGTCAGGATAAAGATTTTAAAAAGCAGGCCACTGTCAGCAAAGCCTGGAGAAGTGGGGCCGGAGGCTCCGCCCCCATCATGTCCCTGCCACCCCTTCCCAGTCACCCCTTTACTCTTACAGTAGCAAATAAGACCCCTGTCTAATGGGGGGAGACAAATGTGTAGACCCTTTGCCACCTTGGCCAGGGCTGATTCCTTAAATTTCTGGATGATGATGATTGTTATTTAATAGCCAGAGGCTCATAGAATTGACTTGTTTGGAGGAGGCCTGATGGCCTCCTTACTCTCACCAAAGCAATTTTTCCCTCAGGGGGGCTCCCATCTTCTTACACAGAGAGGCAGCTGAGGCAGGACAGTGGGGTTAACTGTAGACCAGGTGAGGGCACGGGCTGCTGGGGTGGCCCCGCTTCCCCAGTGTACATATTGTATCTGTGTAACATTTTGTATATTCCAGGGGTAGGGCAGCCCCCTGTATCATACCTAGCAGAGGTTGGAGCTGGCACATGGGGAGGAGGTTCTAATAATTATTTGGGGCTGGGAAACTTATTTATTGATAGCATAGGACAGAGGAAGGAGGCGGGGATGGGGTCGTGGCACCCTGGTGATGCGACTCCTGTTTATTTTGCTTTTTATTTCGGAATAAATGGATTTAGCCATATTGCTCCGCCTGGCATGTTCCTGTTTCTCTCACTGGGTTCTGGAGTTTGTGCCACTGAACGGGGAGCCCCAGAGTGTCTGAGCCTGCGCATGTGGGCTGTTGGGACCTTCCAGGCCTATTACCTGTATGCTGCCTGGTGACATCTAGGGGATTACACAGGGACTACCATGGTACCTATGGGGACAGTTCGGCCCCGATGGCCAACAGGCTTAGAAGCCTGATCTAGCGGTGGCCGGGAAGGCAGGGTGCCAGCACCCAAGGTGTCTTCTGTTCTGCCCTCCTGCCTCCCTCGCCTGCCTGAGCCTGGTGGCCTGTTCTGTCTGTCCCTCCCCAGAATGCTGGCCACCCCGCAGGCTCCCTCGAGACTGAGTTAATGGCCCTGCCCCCTAGTGGCCAGAGCCGGCTTCACAGGATGAGAGCCAACTAAGCTCCAGGGACTTTCCAGGAAGTGTCCCTTGGAAAGGATGTGGTCTTTTCACCGCCCCCAACAGCACCCCAGTAATGGCTTAGCCCTTCCCCTCCCCTGAGCTCCAGAGAGAACACAACCAGCAGAGGAGACATTCCCCGTCATCCAGAAATAGGTTTTATTCTCAGCCGAGGGACAGCAGGACTGGTAGAGACTGTCAGGCCACACGGCTGCCTGCACAGCACCCCCATGCTTGGTAGGGGGCGGGAAGTATGGCGGGGGCTGGCTGTCCACAGGCTGGGCATGACAGGGAGGCTCACTGGAGGTGGCACACTTCAGAGGGGGATGTCAGGGGACAGCGTTCTCTTGTAGTTGGGCCACAAGACTCCACAAGGACAGCACAGTGACTGATTCCCAGCGCTAGAGGCGAGGCGGTCGGCCATGTGTAGGTGTGTATATATATGAGTATTTATAGATATTTATAGAACAGGGCAGGGCATACCACAAAAGGGGCACAAGTTTTCACCAATGGTCACGCCTGGAGGTGTCAGCTCACCACTACAACAGACTAAGTCACAGATGAAGGGGGCTGGCTTTGGGGCTAGGGAAGCCACTGTCAAGTCACAGAACAGCCGTCCAGGCAGGCTTGGAAAGGGAGGTCTCCGAGAAGAGGAGGGATCTGTTTAGAGGTCGAAGGGGGGCCTGGGGCTCTCAGGACGGGATGGACTTGCCTGACCCGATCGGCTGGCAGTTGGAGAGAAAGCAAAGAGAAAACGGGAGAGAGAAAATCGAGGAGAGAGCTGGTAAGGCAAGTGCAGCACACAGCCGGCTGGGGCCGGCCCGCACCGCAGCAGGTGGGAGGGCCGGGGAGGGGAGGGTGCAGGTGTGGGTGTAGCAAGGTTCCTGGAAAAGAGGGGCTGGAAGGAAAAGGGGAGGAAGATGGAGGGAGGAGCTGTAGCTTCACAGGTATCGCCTGGGGACTGTGGCGGCCCTCCCCACCCCACACACGCTGGCCTCTCACACAGCACCCAGGCAGGGCACCCACAGTTCAAGCTGATGCTCGGCCCCCTCGGGCTTCCCTCTTCTATGGTCACCCTGTCTTCCAACCCACCGGCCCAGGGCCACCCCTTGCCTTGGGGAGCCCCACGCAACAGCCACCAGGCCTGATAGAGAAAGAACACTGCTTGAACCAGGAGGGTGAAACTAAAAGGCATGGCTGGAGGGAGCGCCAGAGGCCCTTCTGGGTGGTCAGAAAACCCAGGACCCTCTGAAATGACCCTGGGGGAGGCAGGGAGGGCAGGCAGCCAGATGCCAGTGGCCACAGACTTATAAGTCTAAGAGGGGAGCCTCAGCTGGTCGGGGGGCTGCAGGTCGCGTAGGTGAGGCTGGGCCCTTCCTGCTGGGAAAAGCAGAAGAGCGAGAGTCAGTGGCAGGAGAAGGGGGGCGGGCTCACTGGGTGGAGCTCAGCAGGACCAGCAGGCACGGTCGTCCCCTTGGCTGAATGGCACAAGTAACCCTAGGAGCAACAGGCCAAGGTGCGTGAGCCCGCTGGCTGGCTACGGTGCTTCAACTGGGGCCAGGGACACTGCCTTCAGTCACATGCTAGCAGCTATGACGGTACCTGGGAGGGAGGGAAGGGGGCTGTGTGTCCCTGCCTGGCCTGTGAGGTGTGTTGTGGGATGACTGTGTGTATGGGACTCTCAAGCTTTTACCCTAGATCACCACTGGATTGCCAGCAGATAGAGGAGGTGGTACCCTGACTATCACCCCTGCTCTGCAGTGGAGTTGGCTCTCAGCGCTGCCAGGCTGGGAGCTGGATGCCTTACCCCAGGAGCATGACTCTGACTGCACACCAGGCACGGTGTGCCCAGGATGACATTCCTAGGCCTCTGGCCGCCTCACAGTCCAGCCCCACACACAACCCCCTCCAAGTTCCCAGCCTTTACACAATAAACCACGAGCTCTCTGCCCTCTCTGACGGCTCCAGAGAGCACCCATGTCTGCCAGCTTGGGCACGGAGCCTGTTCCAAGAGTCCCCAGGCTCAGCCATGGAGGCCTTGGGCAGTGGCACTGAGTCCCGAGGCTCGCTGGGAAGGGAGGTGAGAGAGCCAGCGGCACAAGGACAGAAAGAGGAAAGAGCAAGTCTACAGCTGCAGAAGGGAGGGGCGGGGAGCCTGGCTGAGGTCCCAGGTGCGTGCCCCGTGTGGAGCTAGTGCAGCGGGGCAGACACACGGTTCATGCAGCAGGCGGTGAGGCAATACCTACCATGGCTGACGCTCCTCAGGGGTCACTGATAGTGATTCTGAAAGACAGCACGAAATCAACATGGCAGTTCACACGCACGGGTGGGACAGGCCTGGGGGTGGGGGACACACACACGCACACGCCCGGGCGTGCACACACATGCTGTGAGGCCCCATGGCCCACATGCACACGCTAACACACATGCCCACAAACAACACGCATACGCCTCCTTCCCTGCCACCTCCCGGTGCCCAGCACCCTCACTGGCCGGCGGCACGTGCAGCACGGATCTGGGGCATGCAGCCACTCAGCACACTGAAGCACACGTGTGGGCAGAGTCACAACACAGAAGCTCACCCGCACACAGAGGCATTTGCACCAGCTCCCTGCACACTCGTGCCTGGCGTGCTCAGAGGACCACCCGTGCTGCTCATGGAGACAGGGCTAGCTCGCTAATGTCCAGCTGTCATTTCTCCACCTAAGAGCCTTCTGTGGTTCCCTACTGCCTACAGCATTGAGCCCCAACAAGTCAAACTCTTCGGACTTTGAAGGTTCTCCATCCTATGTCCCACCCTCCCCACAGAGCTCTTCCTCATTCTGTCTCTGTTCTCTGCTTTGGCCAGTGGCTGTCCTCGATGCAGCCCACACTACACCTCTGCCCACACTGCAGCTCTTTACCCAGATACCCTCCTTGCCACATAAGCCTATCTCAGCCATGCCTCAGACCGCACTGAAGTCAGGTTGCCTTGAAGAAGCTCTCCCAGACTGCTCTTTTCCCCAAGGTAGCGTCATGATTTGCCAAAAGTTTCATGTGTGTTAGCAAGACTGGAGTCAGGCTGGCATCAAACCTTACGTCACATATCTCACACCGCACCATAGACCTTGGTGCCAAATCTGAACTCACGTTGGTAGTTAGCAAAGTGCTCCTACGGCTGCATCTGCAGTTAACACAGCATCCCTATAGCCATTGTCTCCCTCGATCCCCACAGCCACCCTGGGAGAAAGGCAGAATGTCATCATTTGGTAGAATGGATGCTGAAGCTCTGGGAGGGAAAGAGACATGTCTAAAGGTCCAGGGTAAAGCAGCATCTCTGGACTCCCAGTCCAGTCCTCTTGCCCAATACCATGCTGCTTGCCTCTACCCATCTGCTTTGGTCATCAGAGCATCACAGGGCAAGCCCCAATCCCTGCCTCATTTTGGTTTATGGGTGCTAGACCCACAGCCCTACCCTCCAGCCATGCAGAAACAAAACAGATGCTATTGTCCTGCAGTGTTCTTCCTTAGAGAATGTGGCCAGTGGAAACAGGGCAGACTGGGAATCGGAGTGAACTTCCTTGAAAGAGGGTCATGGGTCAAGAAAGTCAGGCCAAAGGATGCAGTAGAAAGCTTTTCCTTAGAAATCTTTGGGAATGAAGCAGGCTTCAGCCACTTCCATCCCTGCCCCTGCCGCCACCCCTACCACATTGGTTTAGATTGGGTAGGGCCAGAAGCGGGGGGTGGGGGTGGGGAGGAAAAAAACCATCAGATTGCCCAAGGCCCCAGGCTCCTTCCCCAGCTGCTCCTGTCCTAGCCCGGGCCTGGGTGCCATTCTTACACTCTCACACTCGTGTGCACGCCCACACACACATCACACACCTCTCTAGTCACACAGTCACAGCCTAGTCTCTGCTCCTGTGGGCCAGTGGCTGGACACCCCCTGGAATGGCTCAAAGGAGTCAGGACTGGGAAGTGGGGACATCAGGGTAGCTGCAGGAAATCCACACACCCAGAGCAGATAGGGGTTCAGACTCAGACCTAAGGTAGGCTCCGCAGGGGCTGGGAGAGGAATTGGACGGAATGGAGGATGGAGGACAGCAAGAAGAAGAAAGGAGGAGGAATGCAACGTGTGGGCGGCCGCCAAGAGTGAAAGTAGAGGGAAGCGCCATGCAAGTGCTGGAAAGAAGGGGGCAGGTGGGACGAGCCCCACAGCCCCCTCCCCAGAAACGACCACCTCCGGGACTCAGCGCTCCCTCGGGGGCAGGCTCCGCCAGCCCTCGGCCACACGTGGCGTGGCTCCGGCACCCAGAGTCCGATTGCCTGGGATGGAAACGGCCGGTTCTGGCGGCCGGGTCCGATGCTCTGGAATCCAGCCCCATTTCCCTCCCGGCCACGCCCGTCCGGCAGCCTCTCCAGCCGCATTCAGCCCCTACTCACCTGGGGACCCCGGGCGGGGCGCGGTTGGGGCGCGAGGGCACCTGAGGGGGAGGGCCGAAAGGGTCAGGGGAAGCCCCCGGCCTGGAGGGCACGGGGGGCGCCCCCCCCCAGGGCGGACCCAGCAGGCGGAGGCCCAGGAGCAGGGCCCCGCGACCCGGGCCGGGCTGGGGGCACGGCGGGGGCTCGGCGCTGCGGCGTGGGGCTGGACGTGGGCGACCTGAGGGCGACAGGGAGCGAGGAACAAGGAGAGGCGAGATGAGCGGCTCCGCCCACACCGAGGCCCCGCCCCAGGCCAGTGCTTGCCACGCCCATGCACGCAAGCCCCTCCCTGCCGCGCCCCGAGGCGGTCGCCGGAGCTTAAGCCCCGCCCCCAGCGGCGCCAACGTCCCAGCTCCACCCCGCCTCGCAGCCAGCTCTCCACGGCAAGCCCCGCCCCGCGGCAAGCCCCTCCCTCTCTAAGCTCCGCCCCTCGCTCCAGGTGGGAGCCACTCCGGTGACGCGGGCGCGCCACTGCCCGGTCCCGGCACTCCTCCCGTGGGCCCCGGGCTGGGGGGCTTTGGGGCCGTGGGGGCCGGCCCTGGTACCTGCGTCCGGCCGGTACGCTCTGCACCTGCAGCCAGGAGTCGTCCACGGGCGGGGGCATGGGCGTGCTGACGGTGGTCGTATTGATGTCGCCGATGATGCTGAGCGCCTCCTTCAGCGCGTGGTACATGCGCAGCATCTCGTCGCGCCGCTGTGCCTGCTCCGCCGACTCCTCCATCAGCGTGTTCTGGTCCCCACACGAGTACAGGTTGGCCAGCAGCTCCGAGAAGATGAACTCCTTGGTCTGCGAGTAGGCAAAGAGGGAAGGAGGTGGGGACTTGACGCCTGTGCCGCCCTGGCCGCCCCACTGGGCCCTGCTGGGACTGTGAGCTGGTATGGCTTTTCCCACGCGGCTCCTACACTGCGTAGACTGGAAGATTCGCCTCCCCACCGCGCTTTTCTCGCTCAGATGAGGACACTGAGGTCCACAGGAAAAGTCACCTGACCAAGGTCACAGATCCGGGAGGGGACTTAGGACCTATCACGCCACCAGAACACTTGTCTACTCAGTTTTTTTTTTTTTTTTTCTGAGATAGGGTCTCGCTCTGTCGCCAGGCTGGAGTACAGTGGCAAGATTACAACTCACTGTAGCCTCAACCTCCTGGGCTCAAACTTATCTTCCAATGTCAGCCTCTCCAGTAGCTAGGACTACAGGCACGTGCTACCACCAACCCCAGCTATTCTTTATATATGTATATTTTTTTTTTTGAGAGGGAGTTTTGCTCTTGTTGCCCAGGCTGGAGCGCAATGGCACAATCTTGGCTCACCGCAACCTCCACCTCCCGCATTCAAGCAATTCTCCTGCCTCAGCCTCCCGAGTAGCTGGGATTACAGGCATGTACCACCGCGCCCGGCTAATTTTGTATTTTTAATAGAGACAGGGTTTCTCCACGTTGATCAGGCTGGTCTCAAACTTCCAACCTCAGGTGATCCGCCCACCTTGGCCTCCCAAAGTGCTGGGATTACAGGCATGAGCCACCGCGCCCAGCCAACCCCAGCTGTTCTTTGAAATTTCTGTGTAGAGACGAGGTCTCACTGTGTTGCCCAAGCTGGTCTTGAACTCCTGGGCTCAAGTGATCCTCCTGCCTTGGCCTCCCAAAGTGCTGGGATTACAGTCATGAGCCACCGTGCCCAGCCCCTCATTATATTTCTTTCTTTTCTTTTCTTTTTTTTTTTCTTTTTTTAGAGATGGAATCTTGCTCTGTCGGCCAGGCTGGAGTACAGTGGCAGGATCTCAACTCACTGCAACCTCCGCCCACTGCAACCTCCGCCTCCCGGGTTCAAGTGATTCTCCTGTCTCAGCCTCCCAAGTAGCTGTGATTACAGGCTCACGCTACCACACCTAGCTAATTTTTCTATTTTTAGTAGAGATGGGGTTTCACCATGTTGGCCAGGCTGGTCTTGAACTCCTGACCTCAAGTGTTCCGCCTGCCTTGGCCTCCCACAGTGCTGGGATTATAGGTGTGAGCCACCGTGCTCAGACCCTCATTATATTTCTATCGGACAGCTCTGGTCTGGACCGTGCCTCCCTCCCTGGACCTGGTCCCATAGGGCTGGTTGGCATCTCCCCCAGGCCAACATGGCCACCTGCGTCCCCAGTGCCACAGGACTTCCCTGCCCCCATGCGGCAGAGCACGCACATTGTTAATCATGAGGTGCATGATGGTTTTGGGCATGAGGTCCCGCACGGTCTTGTTGACAATGGCCATGTACGAGTCCACAAGATTCCGGATGGTCTCCACTTGCCGTTCCAGCTGTGGGTCCATGGAATGCATGAAGCTGTCGGAGCCATTCTCCTCAGTCTCACTGGCCTGCCATGGAGAACACAAGGGCATCAGGGTGGCCAGGCCATGCAGCCAGGCTCCAGGCATTGCCAGGATCTCAGCCCCTCCAAAGGTACCCAGAACATTGAGGCACAGAGAGAAGCAACTGGCCTGAACACACACCAGGCTCTCTCCATCCCTGTGCCTCTCAGGACCCTAGACTCCCCTGATTCAGCCTTGTCTTGGTTCTGACTCTAGTGCCTAGAATTTGCTTCAATTTCCCAATCCAGAAATTATTATTATTATTATTTTGAGAGAGTCTTGCTCTGTCGCCCAGGCTGGAGTGCAGTGGTGCTGTCTTGGTTCATTGCATCCTCTGCCTCCCGGGTTCAAGCGATTGTCCTGCCTCAGCCTCCTGAGTAGCTGGGATTACAGGTGCGCACCACCATGCCTGGCTAACTTTTGTATTTTTAGTAGAGATGCAGTTTCACCGTGTTGGCCAGGCTGGTCTCGAACTCCTGACCTCATGATCCGCCCACCTCGGCCTCCCAAAGTGTTGGGTTTACAGGCGCGAGCCACTGCGCCTGCCCCCAATCCAGAAATTAGAAAAGAACATCTCCAGGTCCCTTGATTGAAAACCTGGCTGGAGCTGGTGCCAGGCTGCAGATGCCTGGCAGGAGGCAAAAGAAGGGCACACTCACTTTCTCTTTGTCCTGGGAGGCCCACACACCAACATTGTCACCGCCGCCACCACCAGGGAGCACAGCCGAAGGAAACATACAGAGAGGAAAAGGGGAGAGATTGAGTGAACCTGGGACACTGCACCCCAACTCTCAGGCTACTCTAGACATCGCCACAGTGAAATAGGGGAGGAAAGAGAAGGCAGTCACAAGAAACCACCATCGTAGAAAGGGGAATATAGAAATGCCATCTGCAACAGAGACAGAGACGTGAAACTGCCACTGGAGAAGGATGGGAGGACCAGGAGACTTATCTCTGTTCCCACACCCAGAGTGGGTAGGGGGGAGGATTCCTATTATTTCTGAGCCAAATAAGGGCTCGGAAACATGACGTGACTTGGCATCACTGAGGATGGTGCCCCAGGGGCCCTAGGATCACGCTTGCCCCTCCTCTCCTTGCCCTGCCACTCACCCCAACACGCTCAGGGTATACGCCAGCCCTCAGGAAGGAGGCCTTCCAGCTGTCCACCTCCTCCTGTGTCTCACAGGCCAGCTCCAGCTGCCGATAATCCTTGTAGACATTCCTGCAAGACAGGGCAGATAGTGAGGGCAGATGGGCAAAGCCCCACCCTCCCTGGGAGTTAAGGGCATGCCCAGACTTTGGGGTCACCATGCCTGAGGCCAGCTCATTTCCCAGCAGTGTGACCTGTGCAAGTCCCTTCCTCTCTCTCAGCCTCGGTTTCCTCATTGGGAAGATGGGTTAATAAGAATTCCTGCCTCCTCGGGTCACTGAGGATTCAGTGAAGTGAGTGGCAAAATGCTTAGAAGGGGACTGGACCTTTGATAAGGGGACAACCATACTCAGTGAAGTCTCTAGCTTGGGGCCCAGACCCCACCAGCTTCTTCTGTGGCTCTCTGAGGACCCCTCTGATGGCAGCTGGATTGAACCCTCATCTCTGAGTAGCAGAGGGCCCACGAGAGTCAGCCTTGGGTCAGGAAGGAAGAGGCCTGGTGACAATGGAAGGGAGGAAGGAATAGAGGGAGGGAGGGAAGGGGAGACTGGAAGGGAGGAAGGGAGGGAGGGAGGAAGGAGGGAAGAAAAAAGGGAAGGAGGAAAGGAGGGAGGATGGAAGGAAGGGAGGAAGGAAAGGAGGGAGGGAAGGAGGAGGGAAGGGAAGGGGAGGGGATGGGAGATCTTGACATGATGTCTAGCTCAGAGCAGGAACTCAGTAAGCATCTGTCAGTGGATTGCTTGCTGTGGGGCCTGGGGCAGGTTCCTCTCCTCCCTGAATCCCTATACCCAGCTTCTACTCAGTGTGGGTGGTTTTGGGGCTGCAGCAGTTACAGCCAGGGGCAGGCAGGCACCTCTGTTCCGTGTTAAAGAGGGCAAAGATGTGCTTGCTCGACATGAAGCCCTTCTCCACGTCCCGCAGCTTGAGGTTGTCCACAGACAGCATGTATTTCTTCTCTTTCTCCTGTGGGTGGAGGTAGGAGCAATGAGTGAGGTTGGCACTGTTCTCTGCCACACCTCACTCCCTAAGAGTCCCCTTGACTGGCCCGGGGCTTCTAGGCATCAGCCCCCTCCCACTGTGAAGGTGCAGCTAGATAAAATCCTGGCCACAGGACCGTAGGCCTCCTGGGCACCGCCGGCCCCCAGTGGCGTTCCAGCCGGTCCCACTAGCTCTGCATATATGTTGGAGGCTAGGAGGCTGGTGAGGGGTGGGGAGGTGAGAGTGTAGGAGGCTCCCACAATCCCTCCCCAGGCAAGTCCTGGATACAAGCCAGGCCGGCCTCAGGCAGGGACCGCACACTCAGGCCTCTCTCGCCCCCGGCCTGGCCGCCTCTGACTTCATTTCCTGACTGCAGAGACCAGGAAGGGGGGCCACCAGCCCCGGCGGCTTCAAAGGGCTGGCTCAGCCCACTCCCCCAAGCTCCCCATGTGTTAGCAATAAGGCAGCCGGCACAAGCCTGGAGATGGTGTGCCTGTGTGTGCAACATGTGTGTAGTTGTGTGTTTGTGCCAACACATGCAAGCCCAAGTACATATTACCTATTGTGTGTGTGCACATGTATATCTGGGGAGGTGCCCAGCATGAACCACGTGTCAGTGTGAGCGTGTCTGCATCTCAATGTGGATGTGTGCACACTTTGTGGATGTGTGTGGCAATTGTGCAAGGCTACTAAGTTTGCACAGCCATGCACAAGCTTCTACCACACGCTTATACTGGGGTGCACATCTTACCTGCACACTGTGGTACAATGGCTGTGTGTTTGATTTATCTAGAGCTGTCTAGGAGGAGTTATGTGTATCTTCGCACAGGCGTGTAGGGTGCTAGGCCCATGTGTATGCTTGGTGTGGGCACGTGTGTATGTAGGCTGCTGTGTCCCAGGAGAGGGGTTCAGGGATCTGGGGAGGAGACACCCCAGGATGGGGCTCTGGGAGAGGGGAGGGGTTTTTGTCACCCATGCCCTACTTGCTCACGGGGGTCGTCTGTGTGGGCCTCGGGGACTCAAAGAGCTTGGGCATGAGCCTTGCCTAGGGTCTCAGGTAGGGGGCTGGGTTTAAGGGGACCTTGCTCCCCTGTCCTGGCGTCATCCTGCCCACCCCTCTCTGCCCCCCACGCCCCCCTGGCCCATGCAGCCACATAAAGCCCTCTTTATGCCAGGCGGGTGGCCGGGAGCCCCAGAGGGCGGCTGGGGGAGGAGAGGAGGAAGTTGCACACACGGCCAGGGAACATCTGGAACCGTTCGAGAGAGGCCCCGCCACCACCCGCCCTGCGCTTCGGGGTTGGACACTAGGTAGGAGCGGCCTCCTCCCCCCACCCCTCCCTTCCTGCCGGCCGGCCCCCTCCTCAGGCCCCTCCTTCTCAGCCCCAGCTCCCGCTCACCCCTGCCACGTCAAAGGAGGCAGAAGGGGAGTTGGGAGCAGAGAGGGGACCACGGGCTGGCTGGTCTGGGGCTGGGGGGACACAGGCTGGGGTTGGGGGGTTCTTGGATCTCCAGGGGATGGGGCTGAAGGGCCCACCGGATGGACAGACACTGCTGCCTGGATGGACCAGAGGACACCTCCACTCCGTCTACCCAGTGTTTAGACTATCTGTTCAGGACTCCCAAATTGTACAGTAGTCTGCACATTGGTTAGGCTGGGCTGGGTTAGACCCTCGGCGCCGCCGCCACTGGAGAGCTGGACCGACCCCTGCCTGCCATCCCAGAACCGGAGCCTGGAGCCAGGGCGTTGGGGCACAGGGTGGGCTGGGAGGAGGCACAGAGGGATGGGGGTGCCACCCTGCTGTGGGACTGGTGGGGGGTAGCGGTGATGGGGGAAGGGTGGCCAAGGAAGACTGAGAGGATGGGGGGGGTCAATGGGGACTGGGGATGTGGGCAGCTGCCGGTCTGCCCAAAGAGCCTCCCTCACCCCAAAACCTGAGGGCTGGCGGCTGGGTAGAGAAGTATAGACCACTCTCCCACCAGCCTGGACCACCTCCACATCCCCAGTGGTCCTAGTGCAAAAATCCACTCACATTCAACATACACGCACCTTGACACTCACAACCCCAGAACTCACATACATGAGCACCCCCATACTTTCAATCTCACACCCGTGTCCCAGACACACACAAGTGCATGCACACACACCCATACACACCCTCACGATTGGAACACTCCCCCCATTCTCACATCCCAAAGACACACACAGATTCTCAAACACCCCATACTCACACCTTCCCTCCGGAGCCCCCTCCCCACACACACCTGCATTTACATCCCAAGTACAGGCATGTGCCCAGAGTCACTCCTCAGGTACACAGATTTCACCCCCAGATGCAAATGCAGACCACATATTCCAAACACACCTAGATGCTTATACCCCAGTCACACTCCTAAAAAACACCCACACACCAGACCCACAAGCCACACACACACACACACACACACACACACCCTGCCTCCCAGCACCCACAGCCCACAGCCCACTGCCACCTCCCCACATACGATTCTCAGAGCTGTTTTCGCACACGACTGAACTCAGATGTACACAAAATCTCCAGAAAGACCTAGAGGCTCAGGCACAAGGACAGGGGACCCCCTCAGTGGCACGCGCCCCTCCCCCACAGTATCGCCAGGTCTCAGGCCCTCAGCCCCAGGTCACATGGTCTCCCTGGCCCTGTGTAAGGAACCTCAACATGGGAGACCCCAAACCCATGGGGGCATCTAGGCAGCCTGCAGAGTGACCGGCAGGAAGCCGCCCCCTACCCGCACCCCACGCCACCACACACTCCATCCCTTCCAGGGGCTCCCATGCTGGGGGAGGCCAGGGTTGGGGTAATGAGGTCCAGATGGCTTGGCGCCCCCGCCAGTGACGACAGAGGGCCCCTCCCAAGGTGGAGAGTTGGGGCCCCTGCCCAGGACAAACTTGGAGGAGACAGGGACCTGGGAGGGGGCTTGGATGCCAAAATCACAGGCCCCACCCAGAGCCCCGCTCCCCTATTGAGGGTGCTGTAGTCTCCAACAGCCCCTCAGGAAGAAGAGGGTCCCTTCCCCCACTCCTTGGCCAGCTGGAGTTCATTACCACAAGCCCACCCCCAGCCCTCCCCATTCTCTCTGGTCACCTCTGGAATCCAGATGTGAAAGCCAAATAGACTCATTCTTAAAGGAGACCAGCAACAGGGGAAGGAGGTGGCAGGGGCTTCTGTGCACCCTAGTGGGCGGGGAGGGTTTTTTTGTGGCAACTCGGCAGGGCCCCCACACTCCTTGCCCCTCAGCCTGGGGGCACTCTGCGCATTTCCCTTGGACTGCAGGGGTCTAGGGGACTGGGGTGCAGGGGTTAACCGGGTGTCTGGCAGCTGGACTCGTGTGTGTCATGGGCCTGTGGGGGCCACAGAGCAGGCGGCACGCCCTGCAGCGGGAAAACAGGAAGGCCGCTGGGCCGCAGGGTCAGGGAGGGGCACCCAAGGCCCCTGCCCACCCTCCCCAGGGCACTTAGCCCCAGGCTCCTCAGTCCTGCTAAGCCATCTTCTTCTTCCAACCTGGGTGAGAGGGTGCCTCCCCCTGAACCCCCAGGGTCACCTGCCTTGGACCCTTGCATCCCAGCTCCACCCGTGGATCCTTTTTTTTTGAGACGGAGTCTCGCTCTGTTGCCCAGGCTGGAGTGCAATGGTGCAATCTCGGCTCACTGCAAACTCCGCCTCCCGGGTTGAAGGCATTCTTGTGTCTCAGCCTCCCTAGTAGCTGGGATTACAGGCGCCTGCCAACATGCCAGGCTAATTTTTGTATTTTTAGTAGAGACAGGGTTTCACCATTTTGGCCAGGCTGGTTTCAGACTCCTGACCTTAGGTGATCCACTCGCCTCAGCCTCCCAAAGTGCTGGGATTACAGGTGTGAGCCACCATGCCCGGCCTGCCCACGGATCTTTGATGAGACATTTTAAAACCCTATTCCACGGTCCAGCCCACTCCAAGCCCATAGGAGGGTCTGAGCCTGACTCTGGCCACCAGCCCAGCCCCTTGATGACTACTGGCCCTTGACTCACCTCATCATCCTTGTACCAGGACAGATTCTCAGCGGTCAGCACAAACCAGTACTCCTTGGAGCCCCCTTTCATGATGCCAATATTATTGATAGTCAGCCAGCCCTTGCGGATGACCTGGAGGGTGGTGGGGCAGGAGGTCAGCGGACAGGGCCTGAGCCTCCCTGTGGGGGATGGGGTGGGCAAAGAGAGGCATTCGGAACCCCACCCCTTCCCCAGCTCTCGGAGGCCTGGCAGTCAGGGAGGGTGGGGGCCAGACCTGCCTTGGTTTGAACCACAAGTGAACACAGTGGAAGACAGAGGAAGACAGAGATCAGCTCAGGATAAAGAGCCTTTGACAGGCAGACCTGGCCGAGTAAGGGACTGGAGGCCTGGGTAGGGGATGAGCTCCCTGTCACTAGGAATATGCAAGCGCAGTTAATGGGGGCGATTGGGCAAGCCAACTGTGAGTCTTGGAAGCTTAAGGTCTCATCTGTTCTGAGATGTGTTTCTGACTTTACACATGTTGCTGCTGCCTCTGCCTAGAAAGCACTTCTTCCTTTTTGCCTGGCAAATTCCTACTCAGCCTTCGGGTATCAGGTCAGAATTCACATTCTCAGGCAGGCCTTTCCTGGCCCCCAGTATAAATCAGGATTCCCATAATAATCTTTGATCACTCCCTGAAGTTGACTTCTGTAACATGATTTTGATTTTTAATTAACTTCTCTGCATGCGTGTGTGTGATTATCTGTCGATGTAGCCTCCCTGCTAAATCGTGAACTCTTGGTCACTAGTACATCCCAGCACCTTGCAGAAGGCCTGGCAGATAGTAAGTGATCAATACATATTTGTAGTATGAATAAATAAAAGCTATAATAGTATGGTTCTAAGGGTCTTTGGCTCCAGGTCCCCAGGGGCAAGGGCTGAGCCACAAAGTGCCCAGAGTAACAAGCTAAGGTCCCTTTTCATGGCAGGAAGCAGCTGTCCCCAGGACTGTCCAGAGCCATGGCCACAGTCCAGGTCCTGTAGATTCTACTTCGGGGGTAGGGTCACTGGCCAGGCGCTGGCCATGGATCAGACCGAGAGGATGAGGGAATTGCTTCTGCTCCCTCCTGGACCCTGACCTCCCCAGATTCTTCTCTGAGCATCCAGAGGAGACCCAAGGAGGCCTGGGGCTGGTGGCAAAGCCCTCTGGGGCCAGGCTTGCTTCTGGAGCCCTCCTTATGCCTCTCTGGCTTCCCTGAGAACCTGGCTGAGAACCCAAGCTGCACAGCCCAGCAGCAGTTGAGCTGAGGGGAGGCCACTAGCTGCCTCTCTCACCCCTTTCCGATCAGACGAGAATTCCCACAGGGTCTTGTCACCGTCTCTGGAATTGAGTCCACTGTCCCAGGATGTGACCAGCAGATCTTGCCACCTGCTCCCCACCCTAACCTGTAGTCTTTGTCCTCCCCTTTGGCCACACCCAACCCTGAACTCCTCTCTGCTCATCCTAAGCCCTCCCTGCAGCCCCGCACCAGGGACTTCCTGCTCTCCTAATCCCTACCCTGTATGGAGCTCTCAGGGACCTTAGCTGGGCCCTACCAGCAGGCCCAGGTCTCCACGTCCTGTCCAGGGGCCAGCACCGTGTAGGCAACAGCTAATGTTGGCCGAATTGAATTGTCCTGATACTATGTTCATTCCTCCCTTCATTCTGTTGAGCACCTACTGCGTGCCAGGCACGGGGCTTGAGCTGAGGATTTAATGATAAACGGGACAGACTCAGCCCTCCCCTTGTGGGGCCTGGGAAGGAAATAGACATTAAGCCAATAATCACATAAACACCTAGAGTCTTACAAAGAAACTACGGCCTCTGGAACCTATGGAAAGAAAAGCTGAGGACCCTCGGGCTCATGTGTACAACTGAGCAAGCGCTTCGGACCGGGGATGTTTCCGCAGACATCTAAGGACAGAGAGCAGGAGGCCAGGTGAGCAGTGATTTCTTAACTTCTCTTGACTTCTCATTTGTGTCTCCATTCAAGTCCGGAGGCGATGGTTGTCAGCTTCTTAAAAACGTGTCTCACTCACGTGCATCCATCCATCCAACAGATGTTTAAGGAGCACCTACTCCATGCCAGGCCCGGCCTTCTCACCCACCCAGCCCCACACGGTCTAGTTTTGCCTGACGTAGGTGCTTGGCTGGTGCACACAGATGGACGGGTGGATGCGGCTGGGCCTGCCTCTGGTCTGAGGGCAGGTGTGAAATGCCAGGGGCTGGTGTGTACAAGCAGCTTCAGCCAAAGGGTGCCCTCCTACCCACTGCAGATTCCCACTGCCGATGGACCCTCCGCCCCCTCACTATACAAGCCGAGAGCCCCAGTCCTGGTACTCACCAGAATCTCATCCTGCAAAGAGGTAACCATAGCAACCACGAGAGGCATCGGGGAGAGAGGAGAGAGGGTTACTGAGGCAGAGTGGGAGGCTTGAGGCTGGTGGCTGACAGGTCCCTGGCCCCCTTGGGACTCTTCCCCTCAGGGGAGGAGCTCTCAGAGTCTGGCATCCGTCCAGCACCCTCCATCCCTCGGTCTGGGGTGCTGGGGCCCACTCACCTGGTTCCCTGAAGTCTTCTTCTTGTTCATCTGGTTACTCCTCTGCTGAGCACTAATGGGAGGGAGGGGAGGAGTCTCAGAACTTCTCCTTTCAAGAGGCTCAGCTCTAGTGCCCACTGCTTAGTGGGCATAGGACCCAGCGGGTTAACCTAGCAGACCTGGGCTCTACACACACTCACACACTCACACACTCACACACTCACACACACACACACATACACACACGTTATTACCTTCTCTGCCCAGGGAGCATTCACTTTTTGCCCAGGGAGAGCACTCACTTGGCAAAGCCTATGAAGTCCTCATGGTTGGTGTTCATGTAAGCCAGCTCGATATCGATGAGAAGCATGACCTTCAAGGATACGTAAGTTGGTGGGCAAGCGGAAAAGACACCACAAAGTTTTAAAACGCAGGGCAAGCTGGGAGAAAAATACTTGCAGCACATGTAGAAGGTTAGTATCCATAATAAATATAGTCCCTACCATTAGTGAAAGACAAAAGCTGAGCATGGTGGCTCACACCTGTAATCTCGGCACTTTGGGAGGTAGAAGTGGGAGGACTGCTTGAGCCTAGGAGTTCAAGACCAGCCTGGGCAACATAGGAAGACCTGTCTCTACCAAAAAATACAAAAGTTAGCCAGGCGTAGTGGCATGTGCCTGTAGTCCCAGCTGCTTGGGAGGCTAAGGCGGGAGGATTGATTGAGCCCAGGAAGTTGAGGCTGCAGTGAGCCAAGATTGCACCACTGCACTCAAGCCTAGAAGACAGAGCAAAATCCTGAGAGAAAAGAAAAGAAAATAAGAGAGGAGAGAAGAGGATGAAAGACCAAAATAGTCAAGAACATGATGAATAATTCACAGAAGAAATGCATACAACCACTAAGGATGTGTAAAAATCCTTACCGTCATTAATAAAGAAATGTAAGTTAAAAATGAGGCTTTTAGCCAGGTGCGGTGGCTCACACCTGTAATCTCAGCACTTTGGGAGGCCAAGGTGGGCAGATCACCTGAGGTCGGGAGTTTGAGATCAGCCTGGCCAACATGGAGAAATCCCGTCTCTACTGAAAATACAAAATTAGTTGGGCATGGTGGCACATGCCTGTAATCCCAGCTACTTGGAGGCTGAGGCAGGGGAATCACTTGAACCCAGGAGGCAGAGGTTTCAGTGAGCTGAGATAATGCCACTGCACTCCAGCCTGGGCAACAAGAGCGAAACTTCATCTCAAACAAACAAACAAACAAACAAAAAGAAGTTTTTTAAATGATCAGCATGGCACAAGTGTTGGGAAATGAGCTCTCTCATATATTGTTGATGGAAGTGTAAATCAGTATCACCTTCTCGTAGGGCAATTGGCAATATTTAACAAACATTAAAATGTTCAGGGCTGGGTGTGGTGGCTCATGCCCATAATCCCAGCACTTTGGGAGGCTGAGGCAGGAGGATCGCTTGAACCTAGGAATTCAAGACCAACCTGGGAAACATGGAGAAACCCTGTCTCTACAAAAAATAGAAAAATTAACCAGGTGTAGTGGTGCACGCCTGTGGTCCCAGCTACTTGGGAAGCTGAGATGGAGGATCACTGGAGCCCAGGGATGCAGAGGTTGCAGTGAGCCATAATGGCACCACTGCACTCCAGCCTGGGTGTCACAGCGAGTCCCTATTTCAAAAAAAAAAAAAAAAACAAGCAATGCACATATTCACTTCCAGAATTGTATCTCACAGATACACTCAACAAGTAAGCAAAGATACAGGAACCAGAGTATTCAAAGTAGTACAGTTTGTAATAGAGAAAAATTGGGAGCAAGCCAGTGGCTATCTGAGGGTGAAATAGATTATGATACTCTCTAGACAAGAAAGCACCCTGCAGCTGTTCAAAAGAACAAGGATGGGCCGGTCGGGGTGGCTCACACCTGTAATCCCAGCACTTTGGGAGGCCGAGGCAGGCAGATCTCTTGAGGTCACAAGTTCAAGACCAGCTTGGCCAACATGGTGAAACCCTGTCTCTACAAAAATACAAAAATTAGCCAGGTGTGGTGATGTGCACCTGTGGTCCTAGCTAACTGGGGGGCTGAGGCAGGAGAATGACTTGAACCTGGGAGGCAGAGGTTGCAGTGAGCCGAGATCAAGCCACTGCACTCCAGCCTGGGCAACTGAGCTAGACTCCATCTCAAAAAAAAAAAAAAGAAAAAAAAAAAAAAAAAAAAAAAAAGAACAAGGATAATGTCCAGGTTCTGGCCTGAAAAGACCCTTGCAAACGATTAAGTGTGAACAGATTTGGAATTGAGAAGTGATAAGAATGACTTTCCAGATGGCACAAAGAATGCCAGGTTCAGACCCAAGCCCCACTGCTTCCTATGAGCTTGGGGTCTGTCCTCAGCCTCAGATTCCACAAATGTAGAGTTTCTTCCTCTTAGAACTGGTGAAGACACAGAAGATGAGATACTCAACAGATGTTAGATATTACGATTATCTTCAGAAGAAAAAGGCAAGGCACACAGCAGGATCGTGGTTTAGGATAAAGATGGAATCTGGATTGTGTGTGTTTGTGTGTGAGTGCACCTGCGTAAGAAAATGCCTGCAAGGTGACACACTAAACTGTTTTGCTTTTTGGGGTATTACTGAGGCAGAGTCTCGCTGTGTTGCCCATGCTGGAATGCAGTGGCATGATCACAGCTCACTGCAGCCTCCGCTTCCGGGGCTCAAGCGATCCTCCCACCTCAGCCTCCCATGTAGCTAGGAATTCAGGTGCATGCTGCCTCACCTAGCTAGTTTTTAAATTTTTTTGTAGAGACGGGGTCTTGCCATGTTGCCCTGGCTGGTCTCAAACTCCTGGGCTCATATAATCCTCCCACCTAGGCCTCCCAAAGTACTGGGATTACAGGTATAAGCCACTGTGTGGAGTCCCAAACTGTTACTAATGGTTATTTTTCAGGAAGAACTGGGGGTGGGGAAGAGTGAATGGAGGGCTATCTCCTTGTAATTTAACCACTTCAATACTGATTGAATCTTTTATTGAGTATTTATGATGTTTGTAATTAAAAAGCAATCAATAAGGATTTAAAAATATGACATCAACAACAAAAACATGAATGAATGGAGATGGCACCACCATGGAGAGATGTGTGAAAACCGGAAATGGAAATGGGAGCCAGAGGGGCCTACAACAGACAGGTAGAGGCATGCAGACATGGATCAGGAAGGAGGACTCGTCTCTGAGCTCCATGAGGGCCACGATGGGCCCTGTTCACCTCTGCTCCATGCAGCTCAGAGGTGGCATTCAGTGTTTATGTTTGTGTCCCAGCTACTCGGGAGGCTGAGGCAAGAGAATCGCTTGAACCCAGGAAGCGGAGGTTGCAGTGAGCTGAGATCACACCATTGCACTCCAGCCTGGGTGATAGAGCAAGACTCTGTCTCAAAAACAAAGAGTTCTGTGGATGGATGATGCTGTGCAACAACGCAAATGTACTTAGTGCCACTGAACTGTGCACTGAAACACGGCTAAAGTGGTATGTTATGTGTATTTTACAACAATAAAAAAGAGAGAGAAGCAGAGAGTCAGTATGAGAGGGAGGACGACTGAGACCGAAGAGACAAAACAAGAAGGAAGTGACCCCAGGGCCAGGAGTGGAAGGTGCAGGCGGCCAGGAGGGGAAGGAAGGCGCGGCCAGGCCGGGTGCCGCGGGGCTCACCTGCTCCTTGGTGCGGCCCTCGCGCTCCCGGATGTGGGTGGTCACAATGCGCTCCATCTCCTCCCGCAGCCGCGGGTACTGCTGGAGCTGGGGAAGGGCAGGAGGGCAGAAAGCCACGTACACAGGGGGCATGGGTAGGGAGCACCCACACCCCACGAGTCCAGGGATCCGCGGCGCAGGGTGGGAGGCACACACAGAACGCCCACGACGCAGGGAAGAGAGACCTGGGGTCCCAGGACACTGATGGCACCAAGCCACGGCCACCCCTTTCCCCCAAGTGTGGGTTCCAAATGGCGATTCAAGGGTCTTCCTGGTTCCAGGCCCTCTTCACTGGCCTACCCGGGCAACTTCAGGGCAAAGGGGTGGTTCCCGTGGGAGAAAGGCCATGGGAATGAGGCTGCCCCACTGACTGGTTAGGTCGAGACCTTGGGACCGTTAGCTCCCAAGGTGTTCCCTCATCCTCAGGGCTACCCTGTGCCTTCCTAAAGGCGTGGAGGGACAGCTAGACGGGGAATCGGGCAGGGGACAGCCTCCGGATTCCTATCCAGGAGGAATCGGGGGAGGACAGGGCCCAAGGTGCCAGTTGGCCTCCTGAGTCAGGCTGGGGACAGGCAATGCTCCTTGTCAGAGCTGGGGAGGGGGTTCGGGGGAAACCAGCAGTCACACCAGAGGACATGCAGGAAACACAGGCAAAAGCATGCAAGGGCTAGGGTCATGCGAGGCGGGGGCCAGCAGCATGAGCAGTACCCCGCGGGGCCTGGCTGGGCCCTGGCCCTCTTGGTGGAATCCATTCAGCTGTTTCCCTTGCATGCCCCTGCCTGGCACCACCATCCCCAACCACATCTGCCCGGCTCTGGCCAGCCACACTCTCTCGACCCCACTCTCTTGGGGTAGGAGCTCAGCAGCACCCTTTTCCCCCTAGTTCTTATGAAGGGAGGCTGAAGGGGAAGTTGCTCCATGCCCATCCCCCTCTGCCTGTGAATCGTGCCCTCGGCTCAGTCGGGCTCTGGACACGGCCCAGGTAATTCACTTGACTACAAGGTTCTGCCGGACTTCAGCTCCTCCAGAAAGCCTGCCCCGACTGCCTGAGAGCTGAGTTAGGGGCCTCTCTCCACTCCTCTCCCACTCCACCTCCTCCAATCAACTGGGTTGCAACTGCCCCTGAGGCAGGGCTGGGGCAGGGCCAGGCCCATGGCCAGTGCTGGAAGAGGGCGTGTTGGAGAATGAGGGAATGAATGAAGGATGGATGCCAGGGTGAGTGGCACAGGGTCCTCAGCCCTCTGGCCCATGATCAGATCTTCCCGGGGAGGAGACTCAGTGCGCTTCTGTTGGTGGGAGCCTACCCCCAGGGGCTCCGGTCCTGTGGGCCCATCCTCCCCACGCACTGGCCACCTGGGGCCCAGGCAGCGTGATGGGGCAAAGCTGGGAGCGCTCCTCGTCCTTCTTCCCGTGGCTGGGTCAGGCCCTTCAGATGGGTCCCCCAGTGGAGGAAAAGGCCCAGGGATTGGTGTGCCTAAGTCACAGGTGGTGATTCTGAGGGCAGGATGGGGGCCGAGGAGTTTCGAGGAGGGGCATCAGGAGAGGCAGGAGGATGGGGAGAAAGCAGTGCCCTGGATATCGGTCCAGGATGCCAACACGAGGGATGCCCACATCACACCCATCATCCCGTGGCTGTGCCAAGGGTGTGGCTGATGTGGCTAAGCTCAGGAGGCCTGAGGGAGGGGCAGCCTGAGACCAGGGGCTTAAAAACAGTGACTAGAGGGGCTCTGTGGACCCCACTGCTCCTGAGGCTCAAGGAAGAGCTCCTGCTCTTTGCAGTCTCCACGTCTGGGCAGACATTTAGGACTGGGTCACCACCACTAAGCCTCCTCTGAGGTGGTCCCAAGTGCTCCCTCCCAGGGTAGAGTTTGGAGGAGCGGGGAGAAGGAGGGAGGAGGAGGGAGCAATTTGCCAAAGAGCATGACCAATTCTCCCACTAACCGCCTGGATGTCACATGTCTCAAGTTTTCCACGTGTCACCCATGGCAGGGCAGCCTCCACCCCTTTGAGAAGTTCTGTTCCCTTTGAGCATCTTTTTCCATTCTGGCTGCCTCTGAACATTTCCAGGACGTTTCGCCAGCTTTTCAAAAGGAACTTTCCCCTCTCAGCCGTTGGCTGGGGGGCGGTCAGCCTGGAGTCCCCTGGGTTAGCGGTCAGGGACACAGCCCCTGGAGCCATTCAGCCCTGGGTTCAAAGCCAGCCACTGTCTGCTGACTCTCCTTAGGAAAGTGACCAGACTGCTCTGGGCCTCAGTTTCTCCATGTGGAAAATGGGGTAGTAATGACACCTTCCCTCCTAGGGTTGTTGAGAGAACTGAGCAGCACACCCCATGCCCAACATTAAACTCTTGATTTCACTCAGAGATGGCAAGTCTAATCCCAGCAGGGCTAGGAGTAATGAGAGTTCACTTATTAACACTCTTTAAACCTCTGGCAGGAGTGACTTGCTAAACTTAGAAAACTCGAGGGAAGGAAAAAAATACACATACAAAGATAGGTGAGTTTTGACTATAAGGAAAAAAATAATTATGATCCACTAAACCAATCAAAAGGCAAAAGTGGTGGGGTGCGGTGACTTACACCTGTAATCCCAGTACATTGGGAGGCTGAGGCGGGTGAATCACCTGAGGTCAGGAGTTTGAGACCAGCCTGACCAATATGGAGAAACCCCATCTCTACTAAAAATACAAAAGTAGCCGGGCATGGTGGGGTGTGCCTCTAATCCCAGCTACTTGAGAGGCTGAGGCAGGAGAATCGCTTGAACCCAGGAGGTATAGGTTGCAGTGAGCCGAGATCGTGCCATTGCACTCTAGCCTGGGCAACAAGAGCAAAACTCTGTCTCCAACAACAACAACAACAACAACTACAACAACAAAAAGGCAAAAGTATCCGTTTCCTCCTTGTAGACCAAATGTTTCCTTTTCAAATATTTGTTGATCAGTTTTTTTTGCTCACAAAAATCACACAGATGGCAGGGCACAGTGGCTCATGCCTGCAATCCCAGCACTTTGGGAGGCTGAGGCAGGTGGATTACTTGAGGTCAGGAGTTCGAGACCAGCCTGGCTAACATGGTGAAATCCCATCTCTACTAAAATTACAAAAATTAGCTGGGCATGATGGCGCATGCCTTTAATCACAGCTACTTAAGAGGCTGAGTCACGAGAATCGTTTGAACCCGGGAGGCAGAGGTTGCAGTGAGTCGAGATCGTGCCACTGCATTCCAGCCTGGGCGACAGAGCAAGACTCTGTCTCAAAAAAAAAAAAAAAAAAAAGACAAAGAAAAAAAAATCACACAGACTCACTGTAAAAGATTAGAGCATGACACCGGGCGCAGTGGCTCAGGCCTGTAATCCTAGCACTTTGGGAGGCCGAGGCGGGTGGATAACAAGGTCAGGAGATCGAGACCATCCTGGCTAACACGGTGAAACCCCATCTCTACTAAAAATACAAAAAATTAGCCGGGCATGGTGGCAGATGCCTGTAGTCCCAGCTACTCGGGAGGCTGAGGCAGGAGAATGGAGTGAACCTGGGAGGTAGAGCTTGCAGTGAGCCAAGATCGTGCCACTGCACTCCAGCCTGGGCTACAGAACGAGACTCCGTCTCAAAAAAAAAAAAAAAGATTAGAGCATGACTAAAATTTATGAAGTGGGCTGAGTGTGGTGGCTCATGCCTGTAATCCCAGCACTCCGGGAGGCCGAAGCGGGTGGATCACCTGAGGTCAGGAGTTCGAGACTAGCGTGGCCAACATGGTAAAACCCCGTCTCTACTAAAAAAACAAAAAACTAGCTGGGTGTGGTGGCGGGCACCTGTAATCCCAGGTACTCGGAGACTGAGGCAGGAGAATTGCTTGAACCTGTATGGCAGAGGTTGCAGTGAGCCGAGATCGCGCCGTTGCACTCCAGCCTAGGCAACAAGAGCGAAACTCCATCTCAAACAAAACAAAACAAAACAAAAAAAACTTCATGTTTCTTAGTGCCTACTGCATGGCAGTAATAAAATCTGTGAAGTGAAAATCAAAAGATTCCTATGGTGAATACGCTTTTGGGATTTTATCATTCACATATATTATTTTTTCTCCAAAATACCATATATTCTTTTCTGAAACCTGCTTTTTTTTTTTCCCCCAAGGAGGGACAAGCAAATCCTATCTTTTTTTAATCTTTAATTTTAATTTTTTTTGAGGCGGAGTCTCGATCTGTCATCCAGGCTGGAGTGCAATGTCTCCATCTCAGCTAACTGCAACCTCTGCCTCCTGGGTTCAAGCAATTCTCTGCCTCAGCCTCCCGAGTAGCTGGGATTATAGGCACCCGCCACCACACCCAGCTAACTTTTGTATTTTTAATAGAGACAGGGTTTCACCATGTTAGCCAGGCTGGTCTTGAACTCCTTACCTTGTGATCCACCCACCTCAGCTTCTCAAAGTGCTGGGATTACAGGCATGAGCCACCACGCCCGGCCCCCTACCCTGTCTTCTTTTTTTCCTTTAAGATGGAGTCTCACTCTGTCACACAGGCTGGAGTGCAGTGGCGTGATCTTGGCTCACTGCAACCTCCGCCTTCCAGGTTCAAGTGATTCTCCTGCCTCAGCCTCCCGAGTGGCTGAGATTACAGGTGCCCACCATCACACTTGGCTAATTTTTCTATTTTTAGTAGCGACAGGTTTCACTATGTTGGCCAGGCTGGTCTCAAACTCCTGATCTCAGGTGATCCACCAGCCTCGGCCTCCCAAAGTGCTGGGATTACAGGCGTGAGCCACTGCACATGGCCAAGCTTTTTTTTTTTTTTTTTTTTTCTTTAAAGACAGGGTTTTGCTCTGTCTTCCAGGCTGGAGTTCGGTGGTGTGATCACAATCACGGCTCACTGCAGCCTCAACCTCCCAGGCTCAAGCAATCCTCCCACCTCAGCCAGCCGAGTAGCTGGGACTACCGGCATGTGCCACCATGCCCAGCTAATTTTTTAAAATTTTTGTAGAGACAGGGTCTTACTATGTCGCCTAGGCTGGCCTCTAACTTCTTTTTTATTTATTTAAAGACAGGGTCTCTAAAATAACCCAGGAGTGCAGTGGTGCAACTGAACTCCTTGGTTCAAGCCATCCTCCTGCCTCAGCCTCCCAAGTAGCAAGGACTGCAGGTACACACTGCCACACCTGGCTGATTTTTTAAAAAATTTGTAGAGATAGGGTTTTGCTGTGTTGCCAAGGCTGATATTAAACTTCTGGCCTCAAGCAATCCTCTCGCTTCAGCTTCCCCAAGTTCTGGGATTACAGGTGTGAGCCGTGGTGCCTGGCCTATATAAACATTTTAATGGGTGTGTAATATTCTATTGAATAGATTTATCACAGTTTACTTAACCATTTTCCTATTGGTGAATATTTAGATAGTCTCCAGTTTTTCTTTTTCTTTTTTTCTTTCTTTTTTTTGAGACGGAGTCTTGCTCTGTTGCCCAGGCTGGAGTGCAGTGGTGTGATCTTGGCTCACTGCAACCTCCACCTCCCCGGTTTAAGCGATTCTGCTGCCTCAGCCTCCTAAGTAGCTGGGACTACAGGTACATGCCACCATGCCAGGCTAATTTTTGTATTTTTAGTACAGACAGAGTTTCACCATATTGGTCAGGCTGGTCTTGAACTCCTGACCTTGTGATCCACCCACCTCAGCCTTCCAAAGTGCTGAGATTACAGGCGTGAACCACTGCACCTGGCCAGATAGTCTCCAGTTTTTCAATATTCTAAATAGCCTGACAATGAATATCTCTGTGGTTAGATTTTTGCTTTTCTTTCTCTGCGATTGTTTCCTTAGGACAGATTCCTAGAAGACTGATTACTAGATATAAACATTTAAAAACCATGAAACACTTTGACTCTCATTCCAAAAGGAAAGCAGTAATTATGGTAAAATTTGGAAACAACCCAAATATCCATCAAGAAGGGACTGATGCCAGATGGTGGCTCATGCCTATAATCCCAGCATTTTGGGAGGCTGAAGCAGGAGGACCGCTTGAGGCCTGGAGTTCAAGAGCAGCCTGGGCAACATAGTAAGATCCTGTCTTAATAAAAAAATTATTAGACTGGGCAGGATGGCTCATACCTGTAATCCCAGCACATTGGGAGGCCGAGGTGGGTGGATCACTTGAGGTCAGGAGTTCAAGACCAGCCTGGCCAACATGATGAAACCCCATCTCATATGAAAAATTAGCTGGGCATGGTGGGAGGCGCCTGTAATCCCAGCTACTCGGGAGGCTGAGGCAGGAGAATCGCTTGAACCTGAGAGATAGAGGTTGCAGTGAGCCGAGATCGCACCACTGCACTCCAGCCTGGGCGACAAGTGAAAACTTGTCCCCCCGCCAAAAAAAAAACAAAAAATAAACAATAAAAACAAAACCAAAAAACCAATCAAACAAAAAAATTAGCTGGATGTGGTGCTACATGCTTGTAGTCCCAGCTACTTGGGAGGCTGAGGCGGGAGGATCGCTTGAACCCAGTTTGAGGCTGCAGTGAGCTATGATGGTGCCACTGCACTCCACGCTGGGAGATACAGCAAAACCCTGTCTCTAAAAAAGAAAGAAAAAACAATGGGATAAGTACTACAAATACATCTATAAGGATGTTCACTGTAGCATCATTTGTGAAGGCAAAAAAAAAAAGCAAAAAATTTAAACTTAAATGTCCGTCAAGAGGACATTGAACATATAAATCATGCCACATTTCTACAGCGGAATACAACTCAGTAGTTAAAGAGCATGAGACCGGCCGGGCGTGGTGGCTCACACCTGTAATCCCAGCACTTTGGGAGGCCGAGGTGGGCAGATCACCTGAGGTCAGGAGTTCGAGACCAGCCTGGCCAACATGGTGAAACCCTGTCTCTACTAAAAATACAAAAATTAGCCAGGTGTGGTGGTGCTCACCTGTAGTCCCAGCTACTTGGGAGGCTGAGGTGGAAGTACCACTTGAACCCAGGAGGTGGAGGTTGTAGTGAGCCAAGATCATGCCACTGCACTCCAGCCTAGGCAACAGAGTAAGACTCTGTCTCAAAAAAAAAAAAAAAAAAAAAGACATGAGACCAATCTTTATGTGGCAACATATAAGGATTACACAACACACTGCTCAGTGAAAAAGAATGCGCGGTGGCTCATGTTTGTAATCCTAGCACTTTGGGAGGCCGATGCAGGCGGATCACCTCAGGTCAGGGGTTCGAGACCAGCCTGGCCAATGTGGTGAGACCCCGTCTCTACTAAAAATACAAAAATCAGCCAGCGGTGGTGGTGCATGCTTGTAATCCCAGCCACTCGGGAGGCTGAGGCAGGAGAATACTTGAATCCAGGAGGCAGAGGTTGCAGTGAGCCGAGATGGTGCCACTGCACTCCAGCCTGGGCAACAGAGCAAGATTCCATCTCGGGGAAAAAAAAAAAAAAAAAGGAATGGAGATGATTGATGCTTACTTGAAACTCAATGCTAAGGCGGATGTGCCTCCACCCACCAGCATAGGAAAGTCCTTCAGATACAGGTGAGGCTGGGCTCACCCCTGGCGCCTCTGATTTAGCCTGCTGGAGAAGCTCCTGCAGGCAACTGATTCTCTTGCACTCCCCTGGGAAGAACTGCTTTAGACAACCTGGCTAAAAATTCTCAAAATGCCCAAAAGCAGACAAATAGGAAAAAGGCATCTAAAAAGTCACAGACAACTCAAAAGAGGCCGCCCCTGTCTAGCATGCACGGATTACTCACTGTAAAGTGAGTAATCCAATATGCTTTTAGGCAAATTGGTTTTGAGGAACTAGGACAGCTCCCCCTGCCCAGGAGTCCCTGACCTCACACCCTTTCCTCTGACCTTCCTAAATCTGAGTCACACTCTGCTTCTCTTTTCTGAGACTCTGTTTTGCCATCTGCAAAATGGGAATAACAACACCATCCACGTCTCAGGGTGGTTGAGAGGACTGAGTCAGATAGTAAGGGCAAGCACTCAGCCCGTGCTTGGCACATAGTAGGTGCTCAGTAAACAGCTGCCATCTCCTTAACATCATCTTCATCACTGGCATAGGTGCCACCAAGGAGGCTTGGGTTGGAGTCAAGTCTTCTGGCAGGGATGGGGGCCTGGAGGAGTCATGAGTGCAAGCACCCAGGGTTAGAAACTGGCAGGAAACACTAGGGCTGGGTCCCTGTGAGTAACCGTGAGGCCTGCGCAGGAGATCGTTCTGCCCACGGGAGGCCATGGCCACAAGGAATGGACGGCCAGGTCCAGCCCCGCCCAGGCGGCCGTCATACCTTTTCGCTACACTTTCTGATGGTGGCTGTGAGCTCACTGACTACCATATCCACACACTTGATACTGGGCTCTTTGAGCTTCTGCACCTGCTTTTTCACTGTGGCTTCAAAAGCGAGGTCAGGTGTGAAGAGGCCCGTCCTGCACCCGGGGAGGAGGTGGGGACAGGAGGAGGAGCAGCCGTGGGTGGGGAGGAGAAGTGGGTGAAAGCCAAGCAGAGACAGGAATCCAGGGGTGGAGAGGATGGCACGGGCATGGGGGAAGAGAGAGACATCGACACAGATAAAGAGAGAGAGAGAACAGAAGACAATGTGAGCGTGGGACCAGCCCTCCCTCGCCACCCGGGGTCGGCACCTCCCAGGTGCTGCCAAGCATCCCCTGGGCTCCGTGGGTATGGCCAGAGGTACGAGGGACCAAGTCCCTGCTCCGTACAATACCCTTATTGAGTTCAGATCCTCTTCCCAGGGATGTTCCTTGGCCTCAATGAGGCTGCCTGCTCTCTCCCAGTGCCATCTTTGTCCACGGCCTTGGGTTCTTCTAAGGAGCTGACCCAGGCCAGGACAAGGCCAGGACCTCATCCACCCATCCTGTTCAATTCTACATTTCCCAGTGTCCTGGAATTTGCTTCATCCTGACTCCAAACCTCAGCACCATTTCCTATCTCTAGGGTTGCCACATCCAGTTGCCCAGGCCATGCACTGCACAACTCCAGGGGGCTCCATTCTCATAAATCATGGTGCAGAGGCCGCCTCCTGGAGTTGCAGCATAGCAGCCTGACCTCCACTCTCCAGCTCCCTGCTCTAGTCATGACCCTCCCTTTCTCTTCAAGGGGCATTCCTTGTCTCTCCTCCACAGGGGTTTGGTGGAACCAAAAGACAGAAAGAGAAGAGGAAAGACAGAAAGAGTGGAGGTGGTGATAGAGACGGGCCAGGACAGCAGTGGGGAGAGGAAAGGAAGGGAGGCTGGAGGGTGGAATCGAGGAGCACTGGACTTGGAGTCCAGAGCCGTGGCTTCAAGTAACAGTTCTGCCACCTCCTGACTACTGTGACCTTGGGCAAGCCACTTGATCTCGTGGAGCTTCAGTGTTCGTGCTGTGAAATGAGCACTGTCCTCTGTGCCCTGCCTCCCTGCATGGTTCTGTGAGGCTTGGGTGGTGGCGCAGATGGGAGAAGGGCTCTATCCCTGGAAGGCCAAATGTGGATGGAAGGGAGGGAGAGGCCCTGCGTGAGGGTCTTGTGTGAGGGTGAAGTGAGGATGGGGAGGATGAAGGACAGCGGGGAGCCAGGGCACCTGCTAGTCCTGGGTCCTCTGCACCCCTCTGGCCACCCAGGCCCACCGAGCAGTGCCCGAGAAGGCCCTGCACTTCACCTGTCTCCAAGGCTAAGGTTTCCCCAGACCCCTCCCTGGAGCTCCCAAAGATGACACCTCTGAGGACAGGGAGGGGACGCAGGGTCCCCTCAAGCCCTATTCTCTGAGCTGGGGGAGCTCTTGGTGGGCTCTTGGGGTAAACAGCCAGCCATCATCCCCGTCTCACCCATGTCCAATCCCTGGGTCCCCAGACCTGGGGGCCAGGGGTGGGTGAGGCCCCCTCAGAGGCACATTCTCTCCTGGTCAGTGGCGGCCTGCCTCCCCACCCCGCTGAGGTCTGTACATGCTACCGAGGAGGCAGGGGGGGACATAGGGAGGGAGCGCCTGGCAGCAGTGCGGGGCGGGGCAGAGGCAGTGGGGGCTGGCCCGGGCCTCCGGGTTACCTTCTTGGTGCACTGTCTAACGGTGCTGATTAGCTCCGAGATAACCATGTCCACACACTTGAGACACGGTTCTCGGATCTTCTTCACCTGCTTTTTCACAATGGTCTCAAAGGCCATGTCTGGGGTAAAGAGCCCCGTTCTGAACGCCCGGAGCGGGAGAAGGGCACAGTGTCACAGGCCAGTGCCAGCCAGGAGGGCCAGGCCGAGGCCCCTCCCCAAGCCCATGAACTCTGCCCGAAGGGCCCTTCCACTACCCCTCTCTGGGCCTCAGTGTCCCCAGCTGTAAAATGGGAGGGAGGGGTTCTAATGAAGGGTTGTTTTTGTTGTTTTTTTTTTTCGAGACAGAGCCTCGCTCTGTTGCCCAGACTGGAGTAGAGTGGCGCGATCTCGGCTCACTGCAACCTCTGCCTCCTGTGTTCACGCCATTCTCCTGCCTCAGCCTCCCGAGTAGCTGGGACTACAGGCGCCTGCCACCATGCCCGGCTCATTTTTTTTGTATTTTTAGTAGAGGCAGGGTTTCACCATGTTAGCCAGGATGGTCTCAATCTCCTGACCTCATGATCTGCCTGCCTTGGCCTCCCAAAGTGCTGGGATTACAGGCGTGAGCCACTGCGCCCGGCCCTAATGAAAGATTTTCAATTGAGGCTCTTTGGGGCAAGACAAGGTGGTTGAGAGGACTGAGTATCTGATATATAAGTCCTGCTTCCTCATAAGGGTCTGTGCATACAGAAGGTTCTATGGCCAGAAATGGCTTGAAAATTGCCAAACTGGGTTCTCCATAACAGCCTTTCCAGGAATACAGTGTTTTGTTTTAAGACTAGGAAAGAGACCTTTTTTTCTGTGAATCGGCCAGTGCAGTTATCAGGAAGTAAATTCCACACCAGATCTTGGAAATGAACCTGCATGAGAGCAGGGGACACTGGGTCTTGTTCACTGCCTGGCAGAGGGTAGGTGCTTTAAATTTTCCTGCCCAATGGATTTGTTGGATGAACACAGCATAGATCTGGGTCCCTGAAGGGGATCTAAGCTTTTGAGGAACAGATTCCACCTCCCCAATCCTGTTTCCTGCTCCACAGGTTGCCTAGAAGGAGGGCAGTGGGGTGGAATGGGACTGACTCTGGCCTAATGTGAATACAGGAGGGTCTGGAGGGTTGCAAAGTCCCTGGCCGTCACAAAAGGACACAGCTTCATACTTAGATGCTCCACCCCAGGCCCTACCTAGTGGTTTGGGCATCTTTGCCCAGTCACCCGGGTGGCACTAGGGGAGTTATCTCACCCTGGGGATGGGCCCAGCCCCAGAGGGTGTTTCCCCGGCCACCTGCGCCCTGGGCTGTGCCCAGTTGGCCCAGCAAGTTGCAGTAGGCAGGGTAGCCCGGGTCCACCACCCCAAGCTGGAACCTGTCATGCAGGGAGCCAAAAAGTTGGGGTCGAGAGGACTGGGGAACAGAGCTCTCAGTCCTTCCTGAGGGAGGCCCACTTCATCACTCCCTGCGCCTCTGTCCCAGACCCCCTGCTTCTGGAGTTCAGCCCCCCTCCCAGGCCCCAATACGTGCCTAATGCCATGGATATTCTTGATAGCATAGCTGATCTCCCTTCGAAGTTCCTTCTCGTCAAACTCCATCTGTGTAGAAAAGCAGAGAAAAGGCTGGTCAGGGCCTGTTCTCCTACCTGGGAGGTCAAGACAGGGCCCATACCACACCCAGGGCTGGGCATCAGGGCCTCTGGGGTGGGGGTCAGCAAAAGCACACACAGAGAGACTCCTGAGTGAGGGTGAGGGGGTCCTGAGCCGTCCTGTCCCCAGGGCTGCCTGACCTACCTTGACCAGCTCAAAGGGGAAGCGCTCGTGGAAGATTCGGTTAATGCGGGCTCCCCCTGACAGTTCATAGGTGTCGATCTGATCTCCTGAGCCCTCAATGCGCTTCTCAAAGTCTACGGCGAACTGCTGGACCATCCTGGGGGGAGAGTGGTGTGGCCTGAGGGGGCAGGAGCAGCCCAGCAAAGGGAACCCTGGGAGAGCCCCCTGCTGAGAGGCTGGGGGTGGGGATTCAGTGATAGGAGCAGGAGCTGGGGGAGCCTCACTGCAGCAGGGCCTTGGTCTTGCGAGCCGGGTCATCAGGGCGGAAGTTCTTGTACTCCTCCACCTCCTTCTCAATGGACAGCAGCTGGCTCTGCAGCTTGTTCCGCAGCCCAGGCAGTGTGTCCCGGATGTGGTTCGTCAGTTGCTGGGGGTAAGGGTGAGGAAAGGGTTAAGGACAGATGGTCACAGGGCCAGGAAGGGACTTGGATGCCAGGGGACTGTGTGAATGTGGTGAGGTGGAGCGCTAAGGAGGGCAGCCCTGCCACTGCTGCCCAGACCACTGGCATGAAAGCTGGTTCACAGAAGGAGCTTGCAGAGATATATTAGTTGAATTAATGGGTGCATAATTTTCAGTAAAGCCAGAAATCTGGATTTGTATTTGGAATTTCCTGATTTTTGGCCAATTTAATATTTTTATTTTTTTATTTTATTTTATTTTATTTTTATGTTTTCACTCTCTCACCCAGGCTGGAGTGCAGTGGCGCGATCTCGGCTCACTGCAAGCTCGGCTTCCCTGGTTCACGCCATTCTCCTGTCTCAGCCTCCGGAGTAGCTGGGACTACAGGCGCCCGCCACCATGCCCAGCTAATTTCTTTTTGTATTTTTAGTAGAGATGGGGTTTCACCGTGTTGGCCAGGATGGTCTCAATCTCCTGACCTCGTGATTCGCCCACCTCGGCCTCCCAAAGTGCTGGGATTACAGGCTTGAGCCACTGCACCCGGCCAATATTTTTATTTTTATTTCTTTTTTCTTTTTTTTTTTTTTTTTTTTTTTTTTTTGAGATGGAGTTTCACTCGTCACCCAGGCTGGAGTGCAATAGTGTGATCTTGGTTTACTGCAACTTCAACCTCCGCCTCCCAGGTTCAAGCAATTCTCCTGCCTCAGCCTCCTGAGTAGCTGGGACTGCAGGCACTCGCCACCATGCTCGGCTAATTTTTTGTATTTTGAGTAGAGACAGGTTTTCGCCATGTTGGCCAGGCTGGTCTCGAACTTTTGGCCTCAAATGATCCACCTGCTTCAGCCTCCCAAAGTGATAGGATTACAGGCGTGAACCACCATACCGTTCCAATTTAATATTTTTAGACGTGTGTCTGAGGCAGGGGTGGCCAGAGGGCTGCCCCTTGGACCCTCTGGGTTTAAAGCCTCCTTTGAGGTCATTCTCAAGTTCTAGCACTCCTTGCTAAGTGCCCCCACACAGTATCTCCCTGAACCTTTACAACAATCCTATGAAACAGGTCTGATCACTATTGTCTCCATTTTACAGATGCAGAAATAGAGGCTTAGAGACCAGGCACGATTACGGCTCATGCCCGTAATCCCAACACTTTGGGAGGCCAAGGCGGGCAGATCACCTGAGGTCAAGAATATGAGACCAGCCTGGCTAACATGGTGAAACCCTGTCTCTACTAAAAATACAAAAATTAGCCGGGTATGGTGGTATGTGCCTGTAATCCCAGCTACTTGGGAGGCCAAGGCAGGAGAATGGCTTGAATCCAGGAGCCAGAGGTTGCAGTGAGCCGAGATCGCACCATTGCACTCCAGCCTGGGCAACAAGAGCAAAATTCCATCTCAAAATAAATAAATAAAGAATAAAAGAAAATAAAGAAAAAAGAAATAGAGGCTCAGAGAGCCAGAGAGAGTGTCTCAGAGAGGGAGTGACAAAGCTGGGATTGGAACCCAGGTCTTGCCTACACAGACAGACAGACAGACAGACAGACACACACACACACACACACACACATGCTTCAGTTCTGGACGCCCCATTCCAGATGGAGAAAAGTCCTGAGAAAGTCCCTGGGATTCCCTGTCAAGGTCTTCAGCCAAGTATACTTGAATCCTGGCTCCCAAACCCAAGCTCTTCCCCGTGACACCCTCCACATAGGTCTTGGCCTTCTCCATGTTGGGGACTTCCAGGGCTTCCCTGGCAGGTCCCAGACGGGGAAATGTCAGCGAAGCTTTGCTGCTACCTGGCTGTGGGGCTGTGGGAAAGTTGCTTTGATTTTCTGAGCCTCAGTTTGTCTATCTGAGGCTAACCTCTGCTGGTCACTCTCAGAACACACTTAAATTATCCTGTTTTCATGCTTGTTTCCCCAGGCCCATCCTGGCTTGGCCGCCTACCTGATTGAGGACCTTCTGCAGGTAGGGCGTGCCCATACGGTCAGCCAAGTGGCGATAAGATGGATGGGAGAGGAAGAACTTTCGTTCAGCAGCCAAGGCGGCGGTAATGTCCTTCTTGCCATCAATGTCCTTCTGGCTCCGGTTCACAACCCCAATGTAGCCTGTGAACAGTAGCAAGGTCAGGGCAACCAGCCTCAAGGGGAAGAGAGGGGTGGGGAAGGGCTGGGGAGTGGTTGAGGGGCATGGCCTGCTTACCTCTGCGCAGGGGGAGCAGCTTGTTCTCCAGCACGTCACGGGCATCTGTGCCCTCGTCCATCAGGTCCAGCTTGGTGATGACCCCGATGGTGCGCTGGCCTGGGTGCACCAGCGGGAGGGCTGTCTATAGCTGCACCCACTCTCACACACAATTCCATGCACTCCCACTCCCGCCCCCCTGCCTCCACAGCCCCCTGCCCGCTCACTGCCTCCTCTCTTTCCCCCTTATTCATTTTCCACAGAGTAGCCAAAATGATTTTTATTTATTCTTCTTGTTTTTTTTATTTGTTAGAGATGGGATTTCACTTTGTTGCCAGGCTGGTTTCCAACTCCTGGCTTCAAGCGATCCTCCTAAGTTGGCCTCCCAAAGTGCTGGGATTTACAGGCGTGAGCCACTGCACCTGGCCTTTTTTTCTTTTTGGAGACAGGGTCTCACTCTTGCCCATGCTGGACTGCAGGGGTGCGATTAGGGCTCATTGTAGCCTCAACCTCCTAGGCTCAAGTGATTCTCCAGCCTCAGCCTCATGAGTAGTTGGGACCACAATCGTGCACCACCGTGCCCGGCTAATTTTTAATTTTTTTGTAGAAATGGGGTCTCACTATATTGCTCAGCCTTATCTCGATCTCCTGGGCTCAAGCGATCCTCCCGCCTTGGCCTCCCAAAGTGCTGGGATTACAGGCATGGGCCACCATGCCTGACCCCAAAATTATTTTTAAAGGTACATATCTGATCCTACCACTATTCTTAGACCGTTCAGAGGCTCCCCTTTACACTAAGAATAGACAGCCCGCAAGCCTGGGACTTTGTGCATTGGCCACCGGGTGGGAACCTACCCTGGGGGTCCACCTCCTTGGCGACCTTGAGGGCGTCAGAATTGGCCAGGTCAGAGTTGGCAGGGGACACGGCCAGGATGAGGCAGTTCTCCTTGGTGACAAACTGCATAAGCATGTCCCGGATCTGGAACTCGATGTCGGGAGGTTGGTCCCCCACCGGGACCTTGGTCATTCCGGGCAGGTCCACCAGGGTCAGGTTCAGCACTGGACAGAGCGGCGAGAGGGTGGGCTCAAGGCGAGGGGCGTGGCCGCGGGCGAGGTTAAGGAATAGGGCGGGGCTTAGAGGAGCTGCTTGGGAGCAGGGTGGCAGGTGGCCGGGACTAGGAAATCTCAGGGCGAAAGTGGCTGCATGTTGGAGGCGTGGCCGGAAGTGAGCGGAATCCACGGCTGGGTGGAGCTTGGAATAGGATGATGCAGAGGCAGGGTCGCTCTAGGGGCGGAGTCTGCAGGAGGAGAGAGGCAGGCAGAGGGGCGTGGCCAAGAAACTGATTCTTAGAGGTTGGGGCGGGGCCAGGGTCCTCACCATGCGGCGAGTAGACGCGGAGGTTGATAGGCACCGGCGAGATGCCCTTGTTGGTGCCGGTGACCCGGTCGGTCTCGGCCTCGATCTCAAGGCGCACCTCCTCGAAGTCGGTGAATTTCTTTCCCTTGCAGTGCAGGAACTCGGCATATTCTGCCCCAGAAGCGGGCAGGGGAAGGGCAGTAGGCATCAAGTTCTGGAACCCCACCTGGGGGTTTTCATCTCCCACCGGTAATAGGACTCCCTAGACACACCTAAGCAGAACCACCACCCACGTCTCCATTATGTATTTTGATCCCTGCTATCCCTAAGGGGGACGAGGCCCACAGCCACACAGCAACCAAGTTTCGTGGCCAGGCTGGCCCTCGAGGAGCTTGGGGACGGAGGAGAGGCTGGAGTGGGCAGGCCTGGCTGCTGGTGAAGGAGGGCACGTACCTGTGGTTGCATTGACCAGCTGCAAGACCAGGGGACGTCGGGTGACAATGCCAGATCCTCGAGGCAGGAAGTCCCTGCAATGAGTTGGAGGTCAAAGGAGGGTCAAGATATGAGGGTGCGCCCTCTGTTCCAGGGGTACCTGTCCTGCCCCTGGGAGAGCCAAAGCTCCCTCCAAAGTGCTGGCCCCACCACTCCTTAGCCCAAGGGCTTCAGGTAACTAAGGGGATATGGCAGCCCAGAAAGGTGGAAACTACTTTTCCTTAAGTCGCCGGAGTCACAGAATTTATGTATCTGAGCTGCCAAGAGACTGGATCAACTACTAGATACGTCCTATGTTGGTTTTGAACCAACAGGAAGTCCCTGCCCCAACCCAGTCACTGCCATTCAGCCCCAGAGAAACTGAGGCATGGGGTTTCCCACACGCCTATGCATCCAGTGCCCAGAGTGGGTCCCAGGAAACAGAGCTGTAACTTCTCCCCTCCCTTCCGCTGTGGGGCAGGGCAGCATCTCACTTCCCCTTCTCCAGGCCCCATATGGCTAGGGTTGAAGAAGAGTGGGGAAGGAGGCAGCAAGGAAAACGACTCATGGGCTGGGTGCAGTGGCTCATGCCTGTAATTCCAGCACTTTGGGAGGCTGAGGCGGGCGGATCACCTGAGGTCAGGAGTTCGAGACCAGCCTGGCCAACATGGTGAAACCCTGTCTCTACTAAAAGTACAAAAAAAATTAGCCGGCAGGGTGTTAGGCGCCTGTAGTCCCAGCTTCTTGGGAGGCTGAGGCAGGAGAATTGTTTGAACCCAGGAGGCGGAGGATATGGTGAGCCAAGATTGTGCCATTGTACTCCAGCCTAGGTAACAAGAGCAAAATTCCATCTCAAAAAAACAAAAAACAAAAAACTCATGCTTCTTGGTGCCTACTGCATGCCAGGCGCTGAGTGGGGCTCCATACGGTAGCCCCATGAGGCAGGTGCTGTTATTACCCCCATTTTGCAGATGAGGGAGCTGCAGCTTAGAGACATTCAGGTTGCACAGCCAGTATCTGGCAGAGCAGACCCTGGTCTCAGATCTATTTACTCTGCAGTGAGACTCCCCTGCCCTTCAGCCCCCTGTGAACCCAGCCGCCTTTGAAGGACTGGACCAAGGGGTCCCAAAGTCATCCACTGTCCCCAGACCTGACAGTCTATAGCTCAGACATCTGCTCATGCCAATGTCAACCTCAGCTGTTCTTTTGGCTGACTCTTGTGGGTGCCAGTTCTCTGTCCAGTTAGCTCTTTTCATCTACCTCCCTCTGCACCGCCCTCCAGGGTGGTGCAAGCATGAGAGTGAAGGCCTCTCCAGGAACCAGGATGTCAGAATTGCCAGTCATGGGATCCCCAGGGCCCAAGAAAGCGGGGAGCAGGCCGAAGCCCAAGGGACCATTGAGACCCAGCCAGCGCCTTATTCATGGAGAGGCCCACGGAGGGAAAAAGACACACTCAGGCTCTACAAAGCCAGAAGCGGAACCCAGGTCTCTTGCCCCCAGCCCAGAGTCTGATCCAGACTCACAAGTCTTCTTGCACCCCAGGGTCAGGAGCAAAGGGTGTTAGGTACAACAGACTAGACCCAGAGCTCCTAGATTCAAAGCCCCTTCTTGAAGCCTCTCCACTGCCTCATGTCTGGGGAAGCCGAGGCTGCTGGGGAGGAGTCAGGAACTACACTGGAGAAGGAGAAGGATGGTAAGCCCTATGTGTATTCATCATTTCTACACACCAGGCAAATGCTTTTCATTCTTGCCAGACAGTGAGCTTTAGGCAGGCAGGGCAGCCTCTTTCTGTCTGCCACTGTATCCCAGTGCCCAGGACAGGGCTTAGCACACAAGGGGCACTCAATAAATTCTGATTGAATCCCCAAGTCCTCGAATCTGTGCTCTGATGTAGAGATTATCATTTTACAGAGGAAGCGGCCGAGGCTCAGAGAGGTGAAGTGACTCACCCGAGGTCACACAGCCAAGCAGGGATTCAAAGCCGAGTGTCTGTTGGCCCCTCAGCCTGGGAACTTCCTCATTCAATGGTGCTGCCTCAAACCCAAGAAGCCAGACTTGGCTTTTTATGTAATTCAATTAAATTCAGTCTGTGCCGGGCCCTGTGCCGGGCTCTGGGGATGGGAGATGATGAGTCAGACAGTTTCCACCCTGAGGAACTCACAGTGTGGTGGGAGAGACAGACAAGTAAACAGATAATGCAATGCAGTGTGGTATGTGCTAGAACAGAGGTGTGCCAGGCGGCACAGAGGGAGGGGGTTTGCTGGGGGGGTAGGAGGACTTCCGGTCTCAATCTCTTCCATCCTTTACTCAAAGACTCCTTTGGGGGCGTGACTTCCAGTTTTGGGAGTCCCCCAGGGCTGTGGAGCTAGAACAGCTGTTCTCATAGAAGCTGGGGTGGGTGTGGGGGCTGGGGGTCCACCCTATTCTCCACCAGCTCCTCACCAGCAACACCATGGTAACAGTAGTTGCCATGGAAACCACGGGAGGGGCTGGAAAGGATGGGACTCCCCACAGAGAGTCCCCCACGCAGAGACATGGACTTTCCCTGGAGTTCTTCCCCGAGAGGCCTCTCCTTGAGCAGATGGGCCCACCCAGCCCTGGTGAGCCTGAGGGGTGGAGGTCTCCAAGGTGCCACATAGCGGGTGTGGGGAGCCCAGGACCCAGCTGGCGAGAATGCTACTTGGTCAGGGTCTGGGCCAGCTGCCCACTGCCTCCCAAGGGCTGCTTAAAGGACAAGTAGCTTCTGGGAAGCAGAGACTAGAGGCAGGGCCACGTCTGGGGGTCAACCTCTCCCAGGAACAAGATCTCCTGGTGCCCAGATGGGGAGGTGGCCCATCTCTGTCACGGCCCAGGTTCTCAAAGTGAGGCCCTCATGCAGCCTGTATCAGAATGCCTTGGGTAGTTTGTCCAGACGCATGCTCCTTAGGCATGCTGGGCTAGAATCCCTTCACGGGGAGGCAGAATCTGGATTTTAAACAGATCCTCAGTTGGTTTCCACACTCCCTGTCAAGTTTAAGGGCCACCTGCCCCGTGCTGAGGAGCCAGGGCCAGGCTGGCTCCTACATCAGATCCTACATTGGCCTTTCCTGGCCTGGTGCCTGGTGCCAGGACCCAGGAGGTCTGCTTCCCAGTCTCACGCCTAGACCCACAGTGGGGAGGACCAGCAGGTCCCCAGGTCCGGACAATGAGCTCCTCACTCACTTCCGGGTTCCTGCCTGGCACAGGCCCTGCACGTAGTAGGTGCCCAGGCAACACGGGAAGGAATGTGCATGACTCAGCAGCTCCCTAGCTCTTCCCTTTCACCTGGACACACTGTCCCACTTTTGCGCTCTGTTTAAGGGCCCCCTGGGGTGGTCCTCCTTCCCCCAAGTGGGGATCCAGACCAGATCCAGCCTCCAGCTCCTGGTTAGGCTGAGGGAGGACAGAACAGGTGCCCAGAGAAAAGTGTCAGGCCCACCAGCCTTGGAGGCTGCGTGCTGTGCCCGGCGTGGGAGGGGCGGCTGCTGGCATGCCAGTTCTCCCCACTCATTTGGAGCAGATGGTGGGTTCCCAGGGAGGCTGTGCCTGGCCATCTGCAGAGGCACCTTCAAACGTGAAGCATGGGGGGGACAAAATAAACACCTCTCAGGACCCCCAAATGCCACACTCCCTATCTGAACTGGTGCTGTCACCCTGAGAGGGGTCTGGAGAAACTGAACCCAAGGGCTGACGTGACCCCTACCCCTACCCCTACCCCTACTCTAGGACCCGAGACTAGGGGCCAGAGCTCCGGGATCCTGGTTCCCAAGCCCTGCTGAATGCAAATGATGCCAGGAAGTAACGCGCTTAACTGGGCATGCACCCACTGCCAGTCATTCTTCTATGCCTCCTCCTTCTTGGGCTCTGATGTCAGATGGATCCTGCATTGAATGTCCAAGCTGTCATACAGGAGCTGTGTGGCTGTGGACAAATGATCATACCTCTCTGAGCCTCAGTTTCCACATCAGTAAAATGGGTTGCTGTCAGGCTTATACAAGGTGATGATTGAACCAGTGGCGGCTACTATGATTATAAATAATGATAGCTTGCTGGGCATGCTGAGAGCACAGGCTAGACTCCCACAGCCTCGTCACCAGAAGAGGCAGCAGGGAGAGAGCTGGAGGTAGGTTTCCTGGAGGATGGCAGCGAGCGTGGGGGTGAGGGCAGGACATTTCCAGCCAGATCTTGACCCTGGAGGTGGAAGGCGAGGGGGGTGGGCAGGGGTGCCCTCTGAAGCAGGGAGCTGGGGTGCCGGCAAGGGAGTGGGTGGGCCAAGAAATACAGTTGGGAGGAGGTGAGACTGCCCCCAGGCAACAAGTCCCTCTCTGTTCCAGCTGCCCCAGGGGACCCTAGGCAGCCCCATGTCACAGCTCATGAATTTCAAGCTGAGGTTTGAACACTGCAGGGCAGTTCTGGCCTTGGCTTTCCTTGATGTTCTGATGGCCCCACGAGCAGGGACTAGGCTAGACCTGTTTGTCACAATATCCCAGCACCCAGCACTGGATCTGGCACATAGCAGACTCTCAGACACCCGCATTGACCAAAAGAGTGAATGGAAGATGAGCTCTACCATCGGCTTCATTGTGTAGGGGTAGAAACTGAGGCACAAAAGGGGAGAGTCTTGCCCAAGATCATGGTGCAAGTTGGTGACAAGGTAGGACTGGTACCCAGGGCTCCTGACTCCGGGTAGGTGCTCTCTCCACAGCAATCTTTCTCCCTGTTAAGCAGAGCCTATTACCTTCCCTTATTCCTTATCCTCCCATCCTTCCTACTTTCTTTCCCACCCTCCCTCCCTTCCATCCATCCAAGTGTTGATGACTTTATATTTTCAAAATGGAAATCGATCTCTTTTGCTTCTAATTTTAAAAATCATATGTTCTCCATTTTAAAAGATTCAGAAAATGACCAGGCGCGGCGGTTCATTCCTGTAATCCCAACACTTTGGGAGACCGAGGCAGGCGGATCGCTTGAGGTCAGGAGTTTGAGACCAGCCTGGCCAACATGGTGAAACCCCATCTCTACTAAAAATACAAAAATT